TGGATTTTGCTTTCAACCGTTCCGAAACTTGGTGCCCTCCAGAGGTTTTGAACGAGGGCTCACATAAATGGGGGCTTATTTAAATCAGGCGAGACTGTCTTATTTCGAAGGACCAGAAGCCATGGTCATAAGTTCGGATGATGCTTTAAATGAGCTCTGTGAGGAAACTGGGCGTGTTGAGAAAAGAAGGTCGAGAGGAGATATATAATAGCACTTTTCAAATACTTGTAAGGTTATCCTACAGAGGAGGGGCAGGATCTGTTCTCAGTCATCCCAGAGTGCAGGACAGGTAAGAATGGGCTCCAAGTTGCAGGAGGCCAGATCTAGGCTGAATATCGGGTGTGGGGGGAATTTAGCTGTTAGAGCAGTATGACAATGGAACCAATAACTTCGGGAAAACCTCTTAACTGTTAGAGCAGTACGACAACGAAATCAGTAACCTCAGGAGATGGTGAGCACTCCAACCCTGGAGGCCTTTAAGAGAAATTTAGACCACCCTCTGTCAGATCTGCTTGGATTTGGATTCCTCCCTTGAACCAGGGGGTTGGACTGGATGGCCTTATCATATATATGAAACTGTCTTCGGACGAACACTGGCTCTAAGGCTTGGAAACGGGGACGAGCACCGCGCCCTAGAGTCGGACGCGACTGGACTAAAATGTCAAGGGGAACCTTTACCTAGATAAATACAGTGGAATTACCCCCAAAACAGGAGGAAAATGAGGCATTGTTAGAAACAAGGTAGGGGTGTTCGTTTTTTCTTGTTCGATTAACCCGCAGCGCCACCACGTAAGGAGGAAAATGAGGCATTGTTCGATTAACCCGCAGCGCCACCACGTCCCATATTTATCTACTTCCTCCTAATAATGTATCAGGTAGCATGCAGTTGCTAGTTAAGTATTTATCTACTTCCTCCTAATAGTGTATCAGGTAGCATGCAGTTGCTAGTTAATTGCTTCCCAAACACAATAACCTATCATCATCAGACATTTGACTTTTCAGTACTTTCCCTTTTACCAAAAAAGAGAGAGAACGTGGAAGAGAGAGAGCAGATCTTTGCCTTTAACAACCCTTTCTTTCCCTTAAAAAAATTTTTTTTTTGCAAGTGGAACTCTGAATTGCATCAGAAAGGAAATGTTAAAATGTTCCGCACAAAGATAATTATCTTTTTTTTTTTGACACGCACAAAAAATTTCTTTTCTCCAAACGTGGCCGACCTCCTTATCGCGGCAGGAATTTTGAGCAGGGCTCTTGAGTTCTTTTGAGATACAGTGCCGGGAGATTAGCATGTAGATGCTACATAATTGTGTTCCCCCCTTGGTCTCTTTGAAAGCTATTATGGCCTGGTGTATTATTTTATTTTACTTTATTTCATCGGTTACTTTCCTGCTATGTCCTGAGTGTTCCCGACAAAGAAGCGCCACGAGGCAGATTTGACAGAGATGACTGGCAGAGAGGGAGGGAGACGTTGGTTTTTAACCCCTAAGTTCAAGGATGGGGACAGTCTTAAGGGCCAAATTCAATTGCACAGATGTCCTGGGGGGGCACGTTCCAGAGGTGGGTGGGGCCAGAAGCCCAATCATAGAATAAGAGAGTTGGACAGGGCCTCTAAGGCCACCGAGAGCAAACCCCCTGCTCAAGGCAAGAATCCAAATCTAAAGTACAATAAGTCCCTGCGGAAAAATGTGGAAATGGCAAACACTATACATTGCATGGTTTCGATAGATAGATAGATAGATAGATAGATAGATAGATAGATAGATAGATAGATAGATAGATAGATAGATAGATCTGTTTGTTGTTGTTTTTAGTATTTTCAGCCAGCGAATAATGAATCAGCAGGTGCTGATCCTGCAGATGGAAGGGTCTATACTGTATATCTGACAGGTGGCTGTCTAGCTTTCTCTTGAATGCCTCCAGCGTTGGGGAATTTGCCAAGGAAATTGGTTCCATTGTGTTGTGCCCTGTGCTCTGGGAGGATCGAGAACAGATTCTTCTGCATGATCGCCTTTCAAGGGCTTGGAAGAGTGCTGTCAGATTTCCCCTCCTTCAAGACCTAGTCATTGATATCTGTGGTCTCTGGTCTAGAACCTGCTTCTTCTTCACTTTTTTTTAGTTTGTCTCTTCTTCTCAAGCGTGACCCATGGATGCTTGTGCTAAATAAGTTCCATGGTGATGCAAAACTATGGTGTTTTTTTTTGGGGGGTGCTGGGTTTGGGTAAGGAATGACAGCTCTCAGTTTCTCCTGATCAGCATGGGTGAGATGGTATCACAGGAGTCTGTGTTAATTTTGTTGCAGTACAAACTACAACCTAACACAACTTCGTCTATGGAACTAAGCTGTACCATTTATTTATTTATTTTCCAGCTCTGGAGTGTGTTTGGTAACAGTCAAGAATGTGGGCTAGTCAGTAGACTTTCCCCCTTGGTCATGTTGACGATAGACCTTTTTTGGCTTCTGTCCACACCACAATCAAGATCAGGAAAAACGATGCTCTTTCCTGCTCCTGATGCTGGTGATGAGTTTGTAGAAAGGGTGTGTGTGTGTGTGAAGAGACAGTAATAGACTGTCCGTATTTTGAGTTTGGTCATGTTTTCACTGGATGTATTTATTTGTCATATCTCACTGACAGGAGATGTGAGAGCACTCTTCAAAGACTTAAAAGGAGGAAAGGCAGGATCTGTTCTTCAGCATTCCAGAGTGCAGGACACAGAATAAAGGGCTCGAGTGACAGGAAGCCAGATTTCGGCTGAATATCAGAAAAAAACTTCTTGACTGTTAGAACAGTACGACAAGGGAACTAGTGACCTCAAGGGGAGATGGTGAACACTTCAATGTGGGAGGCCTTCAAGAGAATATTAAGACAGCCCTCTGTTGGGTCTGCTTTGATTTGGGTTCCTTGCCTTGAACAGGGGGTGGGACTCACTCAATGGCCTTCGAGGCGCCTTCCCTCTCCATCATTCCATTGAATTTCGGAGAGAACAGATCAGGCGAATTTTTTTGCACTTGGCTTGTTGGCTGAGCCATTTTTGGATCTTGGAGTTTTGGCCAGGCCTTCTTCTATCCTTCACCCAAAAACTCAAGAGGACAGGGTGGCCCATTTTGCTGTGAGCACACCATGGCCCCTTCAAGGCAGCCTCTGTTTGTTCCCAATGCCAAAGATGCCTCTGCACATGCACACACACACAGAAAGAGAGAAATTATGATGAATGCCACAGGCTTTAAATGAATGGTGAACCAGCCTCAGAAAGGGAAGAACTTTAGCTACAAAACAGGCTTCTGAAATTGAGAGGTTACACGCTGGAGGGTTTAGGAGGAGGCGGGGCGATGGCAAAGTGGGAATTGAAAAGCTTCTGTGGCCAGCCAACGGCTGGGGAGGGAGAAAAGCGGCCCCCTTCCCAACTTCACTCCCAGAAGCTCACGCTGTTGGAAAATTTACAGCGCTAAACCAATTGTTTGAATTGGCACTTTGGTCAGGATGCTGTCGTGTATACTTAATAATAGCTGCCCTCCTTTTAATTTGTTTGACCTTGACGGCAGTAATTTATTATGCACATTAGCGGAGGGCCTCCCCTCCTTCCTCATCCCACATGCACTTGGGTTGGAAACAAAGACATTGGCATCTCTTTTCCCAACTCTTTGGAGGAGGGCTGTCTAGAAATTCTCCTCTCGGCTTTTTGCATGTGCCAGTGGCTTGGATCCCGAGAGAGAAAGAGGGAGGCTTCTTTGACAGTTCATTCCAATGCCTGCTAAATTTCTACAAAATGAAAGGAGAGAGCTTGCTTGCTTGCTTGCTTGCTTGCTTGCTTGCTTGCTTGCTTGCTTGCTTGCTTCCTTCCTTCCTTCCTTCCTTCCTTCCTTCCTTCCTTCCTTCTCTCTTTCTTTAGTATTTCCTTCTCTCTCTCTCTCTCTCTCTCTCTCTCTCTCTCTCTCTCTGTCGACCCCAATAAAAGTCTGCTTCATTCTCTTCTTCTGGTTACTTCCTCAACTCCCATCTTCCCAAAGCCTCTGTTTTGAACTACAGTTCCCAGTATCCCCCCACCTGGTATGGCCTGTGGGGATTCTGAAGACCATCAATGACTTTTATAAACTCAAGTTCTTTTACATATTCTCTGTTGCCCTTCTGCCTCAAGATTAAACTCTCACGTGGGTTAGGACTGAGGCTGAGGAGCCAGAGGTTGGGAGTTCGATTCCCCCACTGTGCCTCTTTGACAGGGGCTGGACTTGATGACCCACAGGGTCCCTTCCAGCTCCGCAGTTCTAAGATGATTATACAACATGGATCGTCCTTTTTCTGTTTCATTGGACTGGGTTGTTTTGAAGAACTCTGATGAGCAGAAATGCTTTTCAGCGTTCAAAGGTTGTGAGTCTGTTTTGTGAGTCTGTTCAGTTGTGGGTCTGTTTTGCCCAGTCTCTGCTTCACTTTACCAAGGGCAAGAAAAATTGCTTCAACCTCTGTCTCTTAAATTTCTTTAAAATATTTATCTATTCCACACACACACAAACCCCAACACTCTAGCCCTCACGCCATTGTACGGGGCCATTTGATTAAATCCGAGCATGAAAACAAGGGCCTTGATTTAGTTGCGGCTGCAGCAAGCCAAGGCTTGTATAGACCATGTTGATTCAATAATCACTCAAGTTGCAATTACAAATCAGATTTAGTCCCAAGTATTTAGAAAAAAAGGCTCCAAACTCTTTTAAAAGCCAGAAGGGGCTGGTGAACCAATAAAGCTTCCCCCAGATTTCCATAGAGGTGGGCCAATAGCCGTGTTGATTGTGGGAGGCAAGGTCCTTCCTCAAGAAATCTACTTCCCTGGTCAAGATCCAGCGAAATAACCTTAAGTCGAGGAGACCTGATCCATGGGATTCACCCAAAGGGTAGCCTCCCTCCCTCCCCCCTTTTGTGGTCCATGGCGATGACTAGATTTTCTCCACGGTCTCTACAGAAGTGCACACCTTCCGCTGTGAAAACTGTGATGAACTCTTCCAGTCAAAGATGGACTTGAGGCGGCACAAGAAGTATTCCTGCAGTACCGTCAGCTCCCTCTACGAGACCCTGAGCGAGGAGATAAAGCAGGAAGGGGCTGCAGATGGCCAGGTCCACGAATGCAAAGACTGTGAAAGGATGTTCCCAAACAAATACAGGTATCATCGGCGGCAGAGTTTGTTTGTTTTTAAATTTCTCGTAAAATTCCCTTTTTTTCCTACAGGATAGAAGGACGGAGGAGAATAGCAACAAGTTCCCCCAAACAGTCCACTTCTTGCTCATGAACTGACCGTTAAAGTCTTAATAACTCACTCAGAGACATTGTTAGGAGAAAGAATTTTTTAAAAACCACACATTTATTTACTTACAGTGGCCTGAAACTTACAGATGTGTGTGTATGCTGCTTTGTTTACTGCACATATACCTAGCAACCATCTGAACAGACTGAGAGAGAAAAACTGGGCCCAAATGTTTATTAGAATAGATTAGGGACTGTCTCCTCTGTTTCAGGATACTGTATATGTAAGTTTTCTAGGCCAATTCAGCCTCTTAGAGGATGGCCAGACTCTTCCCCCGCGCGCTATACACAGCTCAGTTTAAACATCTTTCTCCATGAGTTTCCTACCCCTGTGAATGAATACTGAGGTTAAAAATACAAATTATTCTGATTTTACATGATTGATTGATCGATCGATTGATGGATCAATTGATCGATCGGCCGATCAATCAATCGCTAATCTAACAGATTAATTAATTTATTGGATTAACTTTTCTCTGAGGCTGGTATCACTGACAGCATTAGAACAGATGGAGATGAAAAACAGGATTCCCAGTGTGGTGTAGTGGATAGAGTGACAGACCAGAACTCTGGAGAACAGAGTTCAAATCCCCATGGAAACGGACTAGGGGTGTGGAAGTGCTAAAACCACTCCTTAAATATCTCATTTACTCTGAAAGAATTATTAGAAAAAATAAAAATGTTTCATTATTTACAGTTGTGAGCGGATGAACAGCAAACAAAACAACAGTACACTTCAGCGGACTAAAGAGAGGGAAAGAGAATACTCAGCAAAGAGGCGGGGCTGAATTCTGAGGCAGGAAGGAATAATTGGTTAGTGCTGGAGAGATTGACAGTCACTCTAGCCCAGAAAAGTTCCTTCCAGTCAAGCAAACTGCACACAGCATGCAAGGCTGTTAAAAACTCCAACAGAATGCACATTAGTATAAATGAAGTTGCATAAATGCAAGAGCAGATGGCCGCTAATACATTTCTAGTCCTCAGAGAGACTCGAAGCCCATTGAGTAATCTCCAGCCAGTTACTGTCCCTCTGTCTCTCAGTGTGTGATCTACCTCACAGGCTTGTTGTGAATGATGAGATGAGCAGGTCCATGAATCGCATCTCTCTGACTCTCTCTCTGGCAGCTTGGAGCAACACATGATCATTCACACGGAAGAAAGGGAGTACAAGTGTGACCAATGCCCTAAGGCCTTCAACTGGAAATCGAACCTGATTCGTCACCAGATGTCACATGACAGCGGCAAGCGATTTGAATGTGAAAACTGTGTGAAGGTATGGCCTTGGGAACCTCTGGGCAGGGTCTGGTTCGGTGACTCAGGGACCTTCAGGAAGCTGTCCTGGATGGAGTTCCACAAAGAACACAGAAGAATTCTTGACTCATGCAAGAGAAAACGCCCTCTAAAATATGTCACTGTGTTTCACCTACTATGGGATGGGGGATTGTTTTCCCATAAAAGGTTTCATTCCTTTAGGAATCTGACCAGTGGTGGGCGAGCCAAAGATGGACGGCTAATGTCTCTAAAATATGTCACTGTGTTCCACCTATTATGGGATGGGGTGTTGTTTTCCCATAAAGGGTTTCATTCCTTTAGGAATCTGACCAGTGGTGGGCGAGCCAAAGATGGACGGCTAACGTCATTGTGGAAGACACACCGTTGTGGTAGATAAAACCTGGGGCTTGCATCCAATTTTTGGATTGAGTTTGTTGTGACCAGTGATGGTTGCTGGGAATGGTCCTTATCCCAATGCAGCTCTCATTGGCCCTGCTAGGAGAGGATGCTGAGGGTTAGAGACAGTCCATCGAGAGAGTATCCCGCTCGTGAAAAGCTTCCCTCTAGAGCAAGAGCAGGTCGCCTAGAAGGCCTTCAGGCCCACATCCCTGTTGTATCTGTGGCCAAAAGGAAACAGATAAGGCCCAACCCTGATGCCTTGTTTTCAACTGAAAGCTCATCACTGCCAGCGTCCGAAGCCCTGCTCAAGCAAGAAACTCAGTCTGGTGAGACTGAAGCTGGAGGTCAAATGAGGGCACAAGTAAATTCCCTATGTAGCGGGGACGCTGGCAAGTCTTTGTATTCAAGTCTCAAGTCCAAGTCTTTGATATCAAGTCCCAAGTCCCAAGTCCCATGTCCGAGTGCCTATGAAAAACAAACTTTCCCCCCCAAAAAGGGGAAGGGTGAATGGTTCCAAAACACCAAGTTGAATCACAGGTGCAACTTAACACCAGCTTGCCAGCGAGTCCCACAGCTTGAGTTGCCATCCCTGCCTATATACCCACCTTATCTGTCCGTTATGAACACCTTTGTGTGTTCCTGACCCGCTGTGCCTCTGCACCGGAAGTGGGTTCAACTTGTTTCTGCATACAGCTGTCCTGAGAAGGAGGGCCTGCTGATCACAGAAATGCTTATAAGCAGACGTCTGTACTTAGTGTCTTTCACTTATGGTGGGACTTGGCAATGGGCCTTATGGGTGCCCCTGTTTTCCTCCCCACACACACACACACAGAGAGATGGATGGTCTGTCTGGTGGACGGTAGGACTCCACCTGCAATCAGTGGCCGGCAGGACCTGTCACCTGCTTCTGTGTGGGCACAGCTCCAACGGAAGCAGCCGGTGTGGCCAGCTGATGAGGCAGGGGTCCCCCCTTTCTCAGCTTCATGACTCAAAATCAATAAACCCCCCTCCCCTCTTCTTCTTCCCAGGTGTTTACTGACCCTAGCAACCTCCAGCGGCACATCCGGTCTCAGCACGTGGGCGCGCGGGCGCACGCCTGCCCAGACTGCGGGAAAACCTTCGCCACTTCCTCCGGCCTCAAGCAGCACAAGCACATCCACAGCACTGTCAAACCTTTCATATGTAAGTTGTCACGGCCGTCTCTCCAAAGGAGGGGAACTTGCCCCCCCCTGCTATAATTGCACGTCTCCTGAGTTCTCCCCTCCTGCCCACCCAGCCACCCACCCGACCACCCCCCTCCCTGGCCCTGCCTCAGCCTTCACAAGCAGCTGCTGTAATTTCACAGGTCAAGCCACTGGATGGAATTCCACCTTCTCTCCTTTGCTTCATGTTTTTTCAATAAACACCAGTGGCAGTTTCTTGACAGTTTAAGAGCAAGGCTCCACATTTTGCCCTGCCCGATCTGCCTGTGTTTTTTTTCACTATATCACATCATTCACACACATACACACACACACGCACCATTCGTCCGTCCGTCCCTCTGAATGCCACTTGCTACGGGAGCACTTTTGAAGTCATACCATGCTTCTGGGCATCCCGTTGACTTCCAGGTCTCCCATATAATCATAAAAAATCATCTGCCATCATGTCAATTCTGAACGATGGCAACTCTTTCCATAGCTTTCTAGGTAGAGATTACTCAGAAGTGGTTGACAATTCTCTTCTCTTGGGGGCATCTTGGGACTGTTCAGCTTGCCTTGGGGGCATCTTGGAACTGTTCAGCTTACACAGGCTAGCTCTTTCTCCAGGAAGCCCAGTGGGGGAATCGAACTCCCAACCTCTGGCTCCTAAACCCTTGAGCTATCCAGCCAGCTCTATAATAATCATGTGCCACCAAGTCAATTTTGACTCGTGGTGACCCTTTTCAGAGTTTTCTGGGTAGAGAATACATAGAAGTGGTTTTTACCATCCCCTTCCACTAGGGGCGCTGTGGGACTGTGCAGCTTGCCCAAGGTTACACAGGCTGGCTCTTCTCCCAGGAGGCACCGTGGGGAAATCGAACTCCCAACCTCTGGCTCCACAACCAGACACCTAAACCAAAGAGCTATCCAGCCAGTTCTCTAATATGGGAAAATGAGACACTCCATTAGACCTCACGTTGGGTCTGATCTCAAGTAATTTTCCACCTTCTCTTAAATGCACCCCATTTCATTGTTCCATAATCTGTATTTGGGCCATAACTGTAGTTGACCAACCCATGGCCGCACAAAAAAAAAGTGTTTAACATGGGTGAGCGGTCAAGAGCTATCCAGCCAGTTCTCTAATATGGGAAAATGAGACACTCCATTAGACCTCACGTTGGGTCTGATCTCAAGTAATTTTCCACCTTCTCTTAAATGCACCCCATTTCATTGTTCCATAATCTGTATTTGGGCCATAACTGTAGTTGACCAACCCATGGCCGCACAAAAAAAAAGTGTTTAACATGGGTGAGCGGTCTCTAGAATCCCTGGGAGCACTCACATCTCTCTCTGGACTTGTTCGCATGACGTCAAGACCCCTTCCAAAAAATAATAATTAAAAAATTAATGAAAAAAAACATCTTGCAATTTTTTTTCCTAATTAAAAAGCTCCCAGTCCCTCTGTTGCTGTTATGGGCTGCCCAGTCTCTTCCAACTTGTGGTGACCCTAACAGGGTTGTTAAGACCTTAGAGATCTACAGGAAGCAACTCATGATCCCCAGCTCCCAGGGAATTTCCATGGTTGAGCAGAGATTTGAACCCAGGCCTCCTGAGTCTTCTCTGATACTCATCTATTATCCACACTGGCTCTCAGCTCCCCAGTGAGCAGATAAACACCCAAGTCACTCAGTCTTTACTCTGGTAAGATTCATCACATTTCTCTCCAAACTATAGTAATAAGTCCTAAATCTGAGCCTATTCCTCTGATGGTCCAAGGGTCTGACATTCTTCTTCTTCCTCCTTCTAGTGCCCTCTAGTGGCTGAAAATTTTTTTCTTTATTTAAAACTGGTAAGACAGAGGGTCCTCAGAACATGGCAGGTTGCTCCCAACACCTGGCAGAGAACACAAAAACCCTGTTTCAGTCTCTCTCTCTCTCTCTCTCTTTTTTTTTTTCTATTTTGAATTTTATTTTTCCGGCAGAGAACACAAAAACCCTGTTTCAGTTTCTCTGTCTCTCTCTTTTTTTCCATTTTGAATTTTATTTTTTTCAATGGCTGAATGTGGAGATGCCAGAAGAGTGTCATTTGGGCCAGTTCTCCCATCTGGGAGGTGGCTCACCTGGGCAAAAGGCCTAAACTAGAAGGCTTGGAGGCCAGGCCAGGCCTAGCTCTGCCCAAGCTTCCTGTTCTTCCCCCAGTGGTAGCTGGGAGCCTTTCTTTCTGAGCAGGAAGCTAGGCCTAGCTCTGCCCAAGCTGCGTGTTTTTACCCCAGTGGTAGCTGGGAGCCTTTCTTTCTGAGCAGGAAGCTAGGCCTAGCTCTGCCCAAGCTTCCTGTTCTTACCCCAGTGGTAGCTGGGAACCTTTCTTGCTGAGCAGGAAGCTTGGGCAGAGCTGGGCCTAGTTCGGCCTTCAGCCTCTCTCCCAGGTGACCCACACTGAGGGGGTTGTGAAATTCCACCACTCCCACCCTTGCTCTCTGCACGCATTAAGGCACACAAACTGTACGTTAAACTCTGTTTTGGGGCGGGCTTTCCCAAAAGGGCAGTCTTGTTTTAGACCAGTGCCTTTCATATTAATTTCATATTGGGTTTTGGCGTTTTGGTTTCTGTTGACGCTTTAGGTGAGGTCTGCCATAAGTCCTACACGCAGTTCTCCAACCTCTGCCGTCACAAGCGCATGCACGCCGACTGCCGGACCCAGATCAAATGCAAGGATTGTGGGCAGATGTTCAGCACCACCTCCTCGCTCAACAAACACCGGCGCTTCTGCGAGGGGAAGAACCATTATAACCCCGGGGGCATCTTTGGACCGGGTTTGCCTCTGACACCCAGCTCCATGATGGACAAGTCTAAGCCATCTCCCGCCCTCAACCACACCAACCTGGGGTTCAACGATTATTTCCCCTCCCGGCCGCACCCGGGTGGACTTCCCTTCTCTCCTGCTCCCCCTGCATTTTCAGCCCTTGCTCCTGGGTTCCCAGGTATATTCCCTCCTTCGCTATACCCCAGGCCCCCTTTGTTACCCCCAACCCCGCTGCTCAAGAATCCCCTCAACCATACCCAAGACGCCAAGCTTCCAAGCCCTCTCGGCAACCCGGCTCTCCCTCTGCTGTCCGCCGTCAGCAACAGCGGTCACCCCAACTCAGGAGAAGAGAGGTTCAACAACAGCAGCCACCTGGGGAATTCCTACGCGGAGAAGCTCAAAGCCAGGACGAGCGACGTCTCCGACGCCAGTGACTTTGAGGACGTCAACACGACCACGGGCACCGATCTGGATACCACCACCGGGACGGGGTCCGACCTGGAGAGCGATGCAGAGAGCGATCGGGACAAAACGAAAGAGAAGAACAAACAGGCCGAGAACAAGATGGACTTCAGCAGCAGCTCCATGTCCACCAGTTCTGCCAACAACCTCAACGATCTTCCTCTTTTTTACTCCCAGCATTCCTTCTTCCCTCCCCCAGAGGAGCAGCTGCTCCCCATGGCGGGTGCCGCCAACGACTCCATCAAGGCCATCGCCTCCATTGCGGAGAAGTACTTTGGGCCGGGCTTCATGGGCATGCAGGAGAAGAAAATGGGCTCCCTCCCGTACCATTCCATGTTTCCATTCCAGTTCCTCCCCAACTTCCCCCATTCGCTGTACCCGTTCACGGACCGGACCCTCAACCACAGCTTGCTGGTCAAGACCGAACCAAAGTCACCCAGGGACCTTCACAAAATGGGCAGCACCAGTTCCGAGTCGCCCTTTGACCTGACCACAAAGCCAAAAGAAATCAAGCCAGCCTTGCCACCCCACAAAATCCTGCCTGCTCCTCCCTCGGGAGAAGAACAGCCGCTCGATCTGAGCATCGGCAACCGCATCCGGGCCAGTCAAAACGGGAGCCGGGATTCCCGCAAGAACCATGTGTATGGAGAACGGAAGCTGGTGCCCAGTGATGTCTTACCCAAGATCTCTCAGGCTCAGATGCCTCCACAGCCATCTTTACATTATGCTAAGCCATCGCCATTTTTCATGGACCCAATATACAGGTATTAACATACCCTGCCTTAATTACTGCTTTGATAGCTGGTCTCTCTCTCTCTCTCTCTCTCTCACACACACACACACACACACACACACACACACAACTTTATTCAGTAGAACCGTGGTTCCCAACACTGGATCATCATGATGTTCTTGGACTACAACTCCCAGAGGTCTTCACTGCTAGCTGTGCTGGCTAAGATTTCTAGGAGTTGCAGTCCAAGAACATCTTGGAACCCAGGATTCGGAACCACTGCAGTAGATCCATGGTTCACTTAGGTCATTTTCAAAGTAGACCTCAAGAGGAACTCATATTAGAACCACTGCAGTAAATCCATGGTTCACTTAGGTCATTTTCGATTAGGATTCAGGGTCAAAGTAGACCTCAAGAGGAACTCATATTCCCTGTGACTAACCTGTTTTCTATTCTGCAGTCAAGCTTCCTCAGATTATGGGGGTCTCAGATAGAACTACCAATTCAGCAGTTTGTGCTGGTTCACTTTTTAGCCGAACAGGTTTGATGCTTCCCAGCCCTGCCTCCTCCAGTGGACACCCACTGAGAAGAGGAATCCTGGCTTCCCTTCCCTGCCTCCTCTACAGACGGCCTCTGAGGGGGCAGCTGCTGGAGGAGGCAGAGCCGTGAAGCACCGGACGTGAAGGCAGAGCCGTTCAGCAGCAAAACAAACCAGTACGAACTGCTGAACTGGCAGTTTGCATCCATCTATCTGTTCAGCAGCAAAACAAACCAGTACAAACTGCTGAACTGGCAGTTTGCATCCATCTCTTGGTTATGCTTTACTTTCCAACAACCAGTGACAAAACAAAGCATACTAAACGCATGTTACGTAGGTGAGAAAAATTCTCTGCCATCAGGCTTGTCTGTTCTGTTTATGTTTTACTTTCCAACAACCAACGACAAAACAAAGCATGCTAAACGCATGTTACGTAGGTGAGAAAAATCACAAGATGCCTCCTTGAGAGGCAGAAACCCAGCTAGAAAAGAAGTGATCCTAATGTGCTGTTGAGTTTGACCCTCGTTAGTCTTATTAAAGGGGATTCCTTGGATGATGATGGGTATCACGTATTCCAAACCATGATGTAAACCTTTGTTGTTTTGGAGTATAAGGGAAATCTAAGTTGTGTTGCTGAACAGTCTTTAATTTTACCCCTTCAATCCTATTCCGATGATATCTCTTTCTATAAGTGTTGCCCTGAGAACTGGTTAATGCCAGCCCTCATTGCACATGGCAGATTCAGCAATGGTACCTTCCTTAGAAGGCAGTGTCTGTGATTAGCTGAAGGTGGCAACAAACCTATTTCTCTCTTTCTGCCCTAACTGTGTGGGAATATTTCCCAGGTATGTGAGAGTCCACTTCAGACAGTTCCTGGGTGGAATTTGACCTCATAGGTGTCTCAATTCATACAGATCTGCCCAGCAGCTTGCACAGGAAAATAAGGGCCAGAATCCTATGACTTGAGTAAGTCAAGTAGCGTAAATCTTGATGCCAAATCCCTGTTAGTCAAGGAGTCAAGGTTTCTGTTGCTCACTGTGCACTCAAAAGGGGCTGGACTCGGTGATCCATAGGGGGCCCTTCCAGCTCTGCCATTCTACGATGATGGTGATGGTGATAAGAATACAAGCCATTCTATTTTGCCAAACTAGATAAGTGATAGGATGCTGACCGCCGTCGATAGAAGTTTTGTGACTGTAAAACCACCCCCCACTTCTTTACTTGCTGATGCTATTACTCATGAGAAAACCCCTGGTCTCTCTATTCTTGTCTAAGACAGAGAAAAACTTGCAGCAGAAAGCTAACCAGATCTTCGAGAGTCTCGGTATGTTGACATGCCCATTTTTGTCTGGAGATGAGGGGGGGGAATCTAGCATTGGTTTCCTCCTTATACCAGATGGACCTTGCTGGCCTTTGTGGGAACCATCCTGCTGGGACAGAGAAGATATTTTGCTCCGATCTAGCAGGCCTCCTTACATCTCTGTGTTCTTAGCTTAGATTGAGAGTATTTTAGAGTCAGAAAGGAAGGGAAGGGAAGGGAAAAGGCTTAGCTTTCCCAAAATCAATTTGCCTCTCTGCCTGCTTATCTGTCTTATTCAATTTTATAAACTTTACTTTTTGCCCTCAAGAAGGGATGTCAGTATTTAAATAGTAAGTAAGCAAGCAAGCAAGTACAGTGATGCCTCGCAAGACGAAATTAATTTGTTCTGCGAGTCACGTCGTATTGCGACATTTTTGTCTTGCAAAGCGCAGTGCCAAAGGTTGTGCGATTTAAAACAAACCCCAAAAAAGGGGGGAAAATCATCTTGTGAAGCACGGCCATAGAAAAATTCGTCTCTCCTCGAGTCACAAAAATAAATAAATCACAAAACGCTTTCGTGAGTCACAAAAATTAATAAATCACAAAACGCTTTCGTTGTGAGTTTTTCGTTGCGTGAGATATTCATCTTGCGAGGCATCACTGTACGTAAGTAAGTAAGTAAGTGCAATAAGTAAATAGGATAAATTCAATTAAAACCTAAACAATAATGAAAAGTGTAAAAAAGTTAAAAATGTGGTGGTGGTTGTGACCATTAGCACTAGATATTATCAGAAAATAATAATGAAAGAATTGTGAGCAAGCTAGAAAGAGAACCTCTCTCATGGGCGTCGGGGTGGAGTGGAATCAAAGTTTCAGGAAACTGGTTGACAGATTTTGGGATTTTATGTGTGTGTGTATGTGTGCTTATACACATAGTCATACACACACACACACACATACAAATTTATATATATGTACAGTGTGTGTGTGTGTGTGTATGTGTGCTTATACACATACTCATATACATATACACACACACACGTGTGTGTGTATATATGTATGTATGTATGAAAAGTTGGGAAGAATGGTGGCAGTGGCAGGGAGAAAGACAAATGAGCCATGGAAGGCAGCCCATCTAGGAGAAGGAAAACTCCGATTTCAATCCTCCACTGCCTTGCGTGGAAAAGGCTTCAGGAGTTAACTTAGAAGCAAAATCTGGAGCGAGAGTCCTGGAGGCAGTTCATGTCATTGTATATGTATACACACACACACACACACGCATATATATATATATATATATATTCACCTCACTTTTCTCCTTTAAAAAGACCCAAGGCAGCTTATGTCACTAAAAGACAACATTTAAAAGCTAAAAAAACAGTACTATATATAGACATATTGAAAAAGAATAAAATACCACACTAAAAATATCGCACTTTATTAGCTCCACTTCTCCATACGCAGACATAGCATTTCCACGCACGCCTCCCCCCATCCCCGGCTGGGGGATTCTGGGATTTTTATGTCACACATCCCATCTCTGGATTTGACAGAACCACAGCTCCCATTATCCTGACTACTTGCCACACTGGCAACAGCTGACGGCCCCTGAAATATGGGGCTTGACAAAACGCCTTGGCAGATTTAGCTTCCATTCCTTGGGAACTAAAGAGGACCAGGTAGACATGGAATTCGTCCAGTGGGATCCTAGCATCTCAACGCATGGGCTGGAAATCGTGCAATAATAACAAAAGTCAGAGGAGGGCATGCCAATTAAAATAGATGATGTTGAGGAACAGCCCAAGACCAGAAGACAGATGGGAGAGAACCCGGGGGGGGGGCAGGGGAGGGGAGGGGAGGCATTTCAGACCCACCCAAAATCCCCACAGGGCTTTGAATCCAGATGATGATGTAATGGGTGGACTCCACGTATTCAATTCTAGCTTGGAAAGTGCAGAAATAAAAGGGGGATTGCGACAAAACCTTGCAGCGTCTCTATAGCCTCACCATCATCTTTGAAGTGCAGAGCTGAAAGGGACCCCTCGGGTCATAGGGTTCAGCCCTTGTTGGGGAGGCCCCAGTGGGGAATTCGAACTCCCAGCCTTGGCTGCTGCAGCCAGAGACCTAAACTGCTGAGCCACCCAGCAGCGCAAGGATTGTTTGATGATGATGATGATGATGATGATGATGATGATGATGATGATGATTATAGTGGTCAAATAAAGGTATCACCTTCTCCCACATTTGTACTGTGTAACGACCGCATGGCTCTCTTAATCATAGCTGTTGTTTCAGTCTTTAAAAACCAAAGTTGGCAGGTTACCACGTCAGTATATGAGCAAAAAAGAACAGTCTTCTCTGGAGGTAACAGAATTTCATTGAGAATACTTAACACAGGGGAACCTTACTCCATAAAGAATCTGAATCTCAATCAAAAAATATATTGCTCTAGGTAATTTCTATTTATTTTGAAGATGCTCAGCTCTCCAAACATGGTCGGCCAACCAGACAGCTCAGTGCGAGACGGCAACCGGTCCGTCCAGCAAAGGAACCGGATTTCTTCCGGGTACTAGAAGAGAAGGAATTTCTGAAGGAGCTTTCCGTGCAATCAGGATGTAATAATGAACAGAATATCAGCACTGAAACACACGATTATTTCCCCTCTCTGAGGTTCTGACAAAGATCCAGTAATCAAAAAGTATTTCTCATCATATCGTCAGCACTGCAATGCGCAGCTCAAAGTTCTCCATGTTTTCTTTTATGGCCAATTGTGCCTCAGAGGAAGGGTTTAAAGGCCACCAGAATCACGCCTTGCCTTGGCAGGCCGGTTCCACCTCTTTACACCCAAAAAAGGTCTCCATTCCCCCACTCCCCCAAAGGCCAGTTTACATCCTATGTAAAGATGGGCACGAACTTAGGAAGAATCAAATAGTAGATAACGGGAAACACAGCTCATTCCTGTGGTGCATTGTTCCCCTTCTAAACTATACACGGCACACATCCCGTGTGGTTTTATTCCCCCATCCCAATTACAAATTTCGCAAAGGCAAGTGACAGAAATGCCTTCTGTGCTGAAACCCCCCTTGTCAGGTATGTAACCCTCTGTATTGCTGTCCAGCAGGGTGGAGAAACGGAAGGTGGTGGACTCAGTGGGAGCCCTCAAAGAGAAGTACCTGAGACCTTCCCCACTCCTTTTCCATCCCCAGGTAAGGTCCGGATCCACCAAACGTTGAGAATCATCTGCCAGCCTTCCATGCCTTCTACTCTGAGTGTGAGTCGAGAGTACATGGGATTCATCACATCCTTTGGGGTTGGGGAAATACAGCAGGTCCTAGAGAATTATAGAGTTGCAAGCAAGAGCAGGGGTTCCCAGCCTTGGATGACCCAGATGTTCTTGGACTGCAATTCCTGCAAATCCCAAGCTAGCACAGCTGGTGGTCGAGGTTTCTGGGAATTGTAGATGATGGAGATCTGGGGACTCACTATTATAGAGAGATCAGGATGATGGCAGACCTCAGCAGCAGCTGGACCAACAGCAGCTGGTTGTTGGGATTGACTGGGTCTTGTTTTGCTTTCTGGAACATGCTTCTTCTGTAATCCCTACAACATTTGGACTCCTTTGCTTTGCCCTAGAACTGAACCTGGCCGTTCCAACTCATGCAAACTGGTCCATTTCGCTCTACTTGAGTTCAGTCTTGTCGACCCGTCTGACTGCAGTGTGCAAATTATTTGCACAAGCCCTTTTCTGCTCGAAATGAGCAAGACTTGGGTTTCATTTACAAAGGAACTGCCTGCCACCATTTCCCGGCTGGCTCCTTTCCCACCTTGGCTGAGCAGCCCGGCCATCTTTGTGAAAGGCTGACGCGGGGGCCGCTTTCAATGCTAAACTTAGTCCCTTCATACCCTTTCGTGTTCAGTGAGGCCTTCTCCCCAGGCAGTAAATGTGGGTGCTGTGGGAGGTCGTCCAAAGTCTGTCTGAACCACCTTGCATGTTTGCAACCCTTTCTCTGCAATATCCTGGAACAGACAATTGTTTGGTTAAAAACTGAAAGCTGAGTAAGGAACCCCACCCACCCCCAATAAGATGAACCTGTGTGCAGGTTGTGAGATATGTCGTGATGCCTTGGTGTGCTGTTAGGTTGAAGATGTTGAAGCAGGGGTGGTGTATAGCAGTGGTCCCCAACCTTGGGCCTCCAGATGTTCTTGGACTTCAACTCCCAGAAATCTTGGCTAGCAGAGGTGGTGGTGAAGGCTTGTGGGAGCTGTAGTCCAAGAACATCTGGAGGCGCAAGGTTGGGGACCATTGGTGTATAGATCCCTGACTGGCTTCGTAATAGGAAGAAACAAAATATTTCCATACAGTTTTGTGGGTGCACTGATCTATGTGAAATGTAGATACAAAATAGTTCCCCAAAATGGAGCTAGGCCTGCTGAATGACAGCTAGCTTTAAGGGCTTGTAGACTAAAGGTTTTTAATTTCTTGTTTTTTAAAAAACATCCAATACAGTGGACCCTCTACTTACGGAATTAATCCGTATTGGAACGGTGGCTGCAAGTCAAAAAGTCTGTAGGTCGAATCTTCATTGACCTACAATGCATTGAAAACGGATTAATCCCATAACTGGCAGTTTTTATTCTATTTTTGTTCCATTTTGTTTTTTTTTTCTGGTCTGTAAATCGATTCTCCGGCTGCAAGTCGAATCTAAATTTTGCGGCCAGAGAAGTCTATAACTCGAAAAGTCTGTAAGTCAAGCCGTCTGTAAGTCGAGGGTCCACTGTAGGTTGAAGGGACTGGTGCTCCATCCAGTTTGAGTCCTGGATCTAAATTTGCTTGAAAATCTCCTTTGCTTTGCCCTAGAACTGAACCTGGCCATTCCAACTCATGCAAACTGGTCCATTTCGCTCTACTTGAGTTCAGTCTTGTCGACCCGTCTGACTGCAGTGTGCAAATTATTTGCACAAGCCCTTTTCTGCTCGAAATGAGCAAGACTTGGGTTTCATTTACAAAGGAACTGCCTGCCACCGCTTCTCGGCTGGCTCCTTTCCCACCTTGGCTGAGCAGCCCGGCCATCTTTGTGAAAGGCTGACGCGGGGCGGCTTTCAATGCTAAACTTAGTCCCTTCATTGTTTGGTCTGGGCCTGAGAGTTTGGTTAATAACTTCCCCTCATTTTCCTTTGGAGAGGACCCAAACAATGGTGAGAGGGTCAGCCAGGAAGATCCTGTGTTTGTGTGGGTCAGAATAGCAGGGAAAGTGGCCTCCAGATAAAATAGAAATGATGAAAAAATATCCATCATACTAACACCCCACAACGCTCACTCTGCCACTGCTACCCCGTACCACCACGGCCACCCCCAACGTGATCCTCTAATTGTTTTTTCCAAGCGGCATGGCTTAAGCAGTTAAGGGCATTCCTCAACACAAGAAGGAATATGGTGAATCGAAAACTGAACCAAACAAGTCATCCATCTAATTCTGTGTTGTATGTCAAAACGGACTGGGAAGTGTTGTCCAGAGCTTCCACCAGGATTCTGTCCTATCATCAGGTAGAGATTCCTGCTGTTTCCTGGTGGTTTCCCAGACAGGTCACAACTAGATCCAACCCCGCTTAGCCCTCTATCAGCAGCCAGGATTGGTGCGTGGTGTCTAGGAGTTATCATTGGGTTGAGAGTGCGAAAGATCCTTGTAAAATCAAAACTCTCAAGATGGGAAGTAGGGCGACCCAGCGAAGCCAGTCCACCCCTGCCCTTCTGGCCCATGGCTTCTCCAGAGGCACAGCCTCCACGATGATGAGAAAAGTCATGCAAAGAAGAAGAAATTGCAAAGGGAAGTCTGAGAAGGAGAGACAGCTGATGGTGGGTTGCATGGACCAATTCTAGTGTGCCTCTAAAGGCTTAAATAAAGATCCAGGCTTTTTAGCTCCCTATAAGCAAGTTTCTTTACAATTATGTGTATGGACCAAGATGATCAGGAATTGATCAGGAAAAGATGAGCGGCTTGGTGAAAGGATACCTCTGTCCTTTGAGGACAACCAGGGGCTTGCCTGAGAAGGGCAGTTCATCACTTCAGCAATTGCCTGTATAAAAATCTGAGCTGGTCACAACTTGTGAAAAATGTTTCCCTTCAGATGTCAGCCATAGAAACGATGACAGAAAAACTGGAGAGCTTCGCAGCCCTGAAGACAGACACCGGCGCCTCCTTACAACCTCTCCCGCATCACCCGTTCAACTTCCGGTCGCCGCCCCCAACTCTGTCGGACCCCATTTTGCGCAAGGGGAAAGAGCGCTACACGTGCAGGTAAGAACGAAGCATCCCCAGGCAGCCGTTTCAGTGGGCAAGGAAATGAGATGCTCAGCTCGAAGGGGTTGGGACTCGAGTCCAGGACTCGAGGAGCACATGGCAGCTCAGCATGTTCTGCTGATAGCCATAGGGTTGGTGTTACTGGTCACCTGCCCAGGTCCGATAGCCCTAGGGTTGGCGTCAATGAGCACCTGCCCAGGTCTGATAGCTGGGCATCTGGCTGCAGGGCCAGAGGCTGGGAGTTCAATTTCCCCACTGGGCCTCCTTGACAGGGGCTAGATTGGATGACCCATAGAGTCCCTTCCAGCTCTGCAGTTCTAAGGTGGTTATTATTATTTTTTATGACTCCATTGACTTATGGAAAACCAGTGTGGTTTAGCTAGCAGGCATAGTTTTGAGCTAGGATGCAGGATCTGGGTTCAAATCCCTGCTTGTCTGCGGAAGCTCACTTAGGTGGTAGGTGGCAGTTGTATACCTTTCCTTGAATATTTCACATACCTCAAAAGAAAAGAAAAGAAACCCCAGAAGCGACTTAAGGGCATGTGACAACCACTATTGATTGACAATGGGTGAACATTTTATGAATGTGAACCAGCAAGCCAAATATCCTGCTTCCGGCTCCTTTTCTGACGGAAGGAAGACATCGAAATTTAATAAATAAATGAAGGTTGAGCAAAACATGTTTCATGCACTGGCATTGTCTCTACTCCATTTCTTCCCATTCATCGGTCCCTGGATGGCCAGACTCAAATAGTTATAAAGCTATAGGAGGGTGAAATTTACATTGCTCTTGCCTTCTAGGTACTGTGGTAAGATCTTCCCACGCTCAGCAAATCTGACAAGACATCTCCGAACACACACAGGAGAACAACCTTACAGGTGAGTGGAAAACACACCTTATGAAAGGTGTGTCTGTGGTGAATCCTGTCCATTCCAGTTTTTGCTCCGTTGCCCAAGTGCCTGTCTTGTATTCATTTTTTCCCATGTGCTTCCACTCCGCTCCTTGCTGAACTTTTCCCAACGTATGCCTTATTATTTATTGATTTAAAATACGTTTACGCCAGCCTTCCTTGTAAAAAAAAAAATTATTCACATCCTCTCGACCAGCAGGGAGAAACCTTGGACATTTTTTTTTGGTTCTCACCTGTGAGAAAGAAACAAGGGGAGATCCTACAGGCCATTTCTTGTAAAGCTCTGGCTATGATGGGATTTTGAAGAAAAATTAAAAAGGAAACCTTGACTTGCTAAAGTGATAGACTTTCCTTCATACATAGTCACACACAAAACTGTTAAGAAATGTCGGTTTCCCCCCCCCTCAACTGCATCTGCCATCACACAAAGTGTAGGATGGAGGTTTTGCCCCCCCTCTATCTATCTGTATCTGTGTTTGTGTGAAGCAATGTGTATGCACCTCTCCCTGTACATTTTGTAGTTAATAATACGTAATTGCATGCCATCAAGTCGATCCTGCCTTAGGCTGGCCCTTTTGGGCAGTTTTCAGGTAGAGGAGACTCAGAAGTGGTTTTCTGTTCCCTCCTTCTGAGGTTACTCTAGGACTGTGCAGCTGGCCCAAGGCTACCCAGGCTGGCTCCTCTCTGGGAGGAATCGAACTCCCAACCTCTGGCTCCTCAGCTGGCTAATTAAACCACTGAGCTCTCCAGGCAGCTACTCCCTTTTAATCTGCTCAAGTATGTTGCTTTGATTAGAACAACTATTGCTATGTTCGCTTGTCAGTTCTGGAACCACACTCCAGATTATGCACAGCTCTTTTTTGGGGGGGGCATTTTTCTTCCAAAAAAGGAGACCTGGACACCTAGCGTAACTTAGCAAAATAGAACAAGAAAGGAAAAAGAGAAGGGTATGGTCTGGTCCTCTCTTGAGTGGGGATGGTGGTGAGTTCTTTACACACACACACACACACACACACTTCCGAATTTGGAGCTGGAGTTGTGGATAGTGGGTTCACAGCAGTAACAGGTCTCAAGAGAGTGACGGCAACATTTTGGAAAGAGTGGAGGTCACTCGTGTTTTCTGTTTCCTTTGATTCTCAGCTCTGACTGCCAGATGAAGCACACACATCAGCGT